TACCGTCCAATCCAAGTGGTTGGGCAGAGGTGAGGGGAGGAAACGAAGGTATAAAATAGAAGACAAGGGAAAAATAATGAAAAGAAATAGGAGTATGAGAAGGAGTAAGCAAGCAGGGAAGTTTCCCTCGTTAGGCAGTGATCAGCGCAGTCCCGTTCAACCATAAGGTCTCAGGTTCAATTCCCGCTACACGACAAAGACGTTCAGGCACATTTTTCCTCGATCTGATGCCTCTGTCCACCTTGCATAAATTGGTACCCTGAGTTATGCAACTGTTGGGGCTCGGTTTCAACCCTTTTACCCTGTCGTAGCTCAGTCGATTAAGGCAGTGTCTGGGATGCTCCCGGACGCAGGTTCTAATCCTCATCACGGCCCTTGTGGATTTGTTCAACTGTTGGGGGTTGCGTGGTGAGGAAGGTCAGTATACCAGACTTGGTGAACCTAACAGGCGACCCGTCCCTGACCGGGTCAACCAACACCAGGAAAAACTCCAAAACTTTCATGTGTTTACAAAACATACGAGAATATCATATATATCTCTCTCTGTGAGCTTCCTTTGTTCACTGGGGTCTCCTCTGTCTCGTGCCTTCCACGCCAGATAGTTCCTGAGTGTGTGCTTGGGAGCAGTCCATCCTTCCCCTCCACCTGCAGCAGGCACCCCCTCCGTCAGCAGTATTACCACCCCTCCCCCCTCTCTCTCTCTCTCTCTCTCTCTCTCTCTCTCTCTCTCTCTCTCTCTCTCTCTCTCTCTCTCTCTCTCTCTCTCTCTCTCTCTCTCTCTCTCTCTCTCTCTCTCTCTCTCTCTCTATATATATATAAATATATAAATATATATATAAATATATATATAAATATATAAATATATATATATATATATATATATATATATATATATATATATATATATATATATATGTCGTACCTAGTAGCCAGAATGCTCTTCTCGGCTTACTATGCAAGGCCCGATTTGCCTAATAGGCCGAGTGATTTTCTTTATTTTCAATAAATTATTTCCATGTAGTTTATTTGAATTATTATATTATGTTAAGACCATAATTTATTGACTTAGTTGTGTTAGTTTAGGTTAGGTTAAAATAGGTTAGGATAGGTTAGGTAGGGTTGGTTAGGTTCGGTCATATATCTACGTTAGTTTACTTTTAACTCAAATTTAAACAAATTAACTCATACCTAATGAAATTGACAGATTTATCATTTCATAAGAAAAAATTGGGAAAAATATATAAATTCAGGAAAACTTGGCTTATTAGGCACATCGGGCCTTGCATAGTAGGCCGAGTACGACGTTCGGTAATATATAATTATATATACACACATATATATATCTTTCTGAAGATAAGGTCTGCATTCTTATATTCAATAATCCAAGTGGAGCGTAATCTGCCACAAGATAATGTTGTTAATTTGGTGGTTGTGACGCGGGGTGTTGTGACACGGAGTTTTGCAGTTTTCGATATTAAAAAACATTTGCCAGTGTTGCGACCATTTGTGGAGTTGAGGACTTCTGAACAATTGCCACGTTTATGTCTTTTGTGCATCCTTTGCTGGCGTCGTTAAATGTGTTGCACCTGACGCACTGCGCTCGACGTGGGATGTATATTTCCAGGTTATGGCGGCGTCCTCCTGCACTCTCTGCATACATGCATGACGTATGAAACGCAGCGCCATGCAAAGAATAGCGTCTAGAACCTGAGGGAAATATGTACTAGTGTTTTAAACAGATGTAAATTAACCAAACGTAACTTAGTAACTAATCCCAACCTAAGCTCACCAAGTATATATATAATATATATATTGAAGAATCGACTTGAGAATGGTCCAGGGCGGACCGAAACGTCGTAGTCCCTTCACATTCTAGTGTGTGGTCTGGTCATTATATTGAAGAAAGTTGACCGTCGGACGACTAAAATCATTCCAGAACAAAGTCAACTTTCATACCAGTAACGATTAAGGGCCACAGGACTAACAACACTACAAACCAGACATGACAGGGCTGATCTCACCGAAACCTTTAAAATGCTGACAGTTTGGAGGATGTTGATCGAGACAACTTCTTCAAAAGGTCTGATGTATCACAGACAAGGAATAATGATTTCAAGCTCAACAAGACGCAATGTAAGCCAGAAAACACGCAGTCTGGCCTCGACTCAAGTCTATTCCATCCAGCGGTCGACCCCACAGACGCATTCATAAATTTTAACATGCCGTTCATTCAAAACACGAATGTTCTCAAATACAAATTAATATTATAATATATTAGCATATTGTGCATATATAGGCATAGATTAGGTTTGGTTAGGTGTTTAGGTTCTGTTGGCGATTATTTGAGTTTGTAGTACGTGGGTAAAGCATTTACAGCGTTGTGGTTCGAACAGAATTCGTGAGTGAAGCACTTGTTCCGGAAGTGTTCCAACGTCATCAGTTGTGAGTCGTGTGTAAACCTTTTTCATTCATAAACAGAGAGTTTGGTGGGTGCATGGAATCACTTTTGGGTCTTTGTCTGGGGGACGGACTGAAAACAGGAGATGTTTTTTCACCTCATAGTTATAAACCCATGGATCCGCCTACCCGCCGAAACTGTAAATACCAAAACGTTCCTGAATTTCAAAATCCAGCGCGACAAAGTCGGGGCAAATGGGTGGGGGGGGGGGGGAGGCGATATCTTTGACAAGCCGCCGGTTTCCTGTCCTTGTCGAGGCCATTAGTGAGATAGTGGCCCTCGGGTCAATTCAGGTAAATAAGGAGGACGCCCGGCCGCTGCTCGTCACGAACCAGTATAAGTATAATTAAAGTCAATAACCAAGCAATGGCCTTGTGTCCACCCTACACCTGGGATCAGGCACACCACCACCACCACCACCACCACACGTCTCTGAAGTATGTGAACCAGCGGGCGGTAACGTTGAGGGTGATGACAGTTGTAGGAATAATTCTCGTAGCCAACCTTCATACATCACATCTCTGACCCTAATGGACCAGTTGGGTTATAAACCTCCGGAGTGTCCATTCATTATCATATTGAAATTAATATTATTAATATGAATAATATGATTTAATAGTTATGTATTTATTAATGTTTGTTACATATAGGGGTACCACCTCTGGTTGTTTGTAGGGTCCCATAAGCCTCGAAGAAGACGATATGCAGCACCCGGGAGAGCCTTGTTGGACTCTCTCGTGCACTGGCACATAGCGTCTTCTCCTACCACCCCCTTATATATTTATGTATATATTGGGAAATTTATTGTACAAGATTATATGATTCCAAATGTGGCCTTAACACACACACAACACAACCAATACAAGTAAAATGAAAAACACGACAATAGGAAACACTGATATATGTCAGACAGATTCGTTCACTGTTGCAAGTCAAACACTTCTTCGAATTCCTCCGAAGTTGGACTCGTGCCAAAGACGCAACAGGCATTTCCCCTCTGAATTGCAACATTGAGGCGCTGGAACAAGCAACTTTTCGCTCTCTGGTCTTTTGTAGCGCTGACCAATTTGTCCCCAAATTCCTTCAGGAGCTTCAATTCACATTTTCCCCACGAACCGAGGGTCTCCGAACCGATCGGAACAAAGCTGTAGCAGTGTGCCAGACCTCTGTATATGATAATTTTCTCCGATGCCTTGAAAGAAGCAGCACCACCCCCCTTCACGTGTGCTGTAGTGGAGGTAGGTACTGGCCAGTGTGGCAGCGCACGTGTAGTCCTACACCAGTTGCTTACCATCCTTCCTGGGAAGCAAGGTGACCCCATCTGGGCGCTTCAGAAATGTTATTATTAATAATGTTATAATTAATAACTAATAATGTAAGTATTAATAATGAATTAATTTCGTTAATACGAATTAATAATATTCTTGATTTGTGTAATAAAGTTTTAAATACAATAATTACAATATATAGGGTGTAGGAGTGCATGTAGGAGACCCACAAGGCTGTCCTGGCTGCTACATATGTCATTTGAGTAGTTATGATGGGTTGTGCCACCTTTATGTGAAGGGCTTCAAGAATTTGAAATCTTTTTACATCCTGGGTTTTGTCTAATATGCAAGTGTTTTTTTTTATTCACAATTTCTCTTGTTAGGGTGATGTCATGGGCTTGTCTCATGTGATTTTTACGGGCACCTGGTTGAAGATGACAGATCAAACGCCTCGTTCAGCTTGGCTCATGTCATACCTATGTACCCTTTGTGGGGGCAGGTGTGTGTGTGTGTGTATGTGTATATATATATATATATATATATATATATATATATATATATATATATATATATATATATATATATATATATATATATATACATTACGCTTCACTATATAAAACTTATACATTTTCAAAGACTATATATTATATTTTATATATTATAATATAGACTGCTGTAAAGGGTTCTCCGTCGGCTTCGACCTGTTTTCAATGAGGAGGTTGGTAGTCTTGTTAAACTTCTTCATATTCTATCAAACTATGTTTTAGTTAGGCGGTTGTGCTTTTTACTCCTTCACGGATAATTTCTTCCACTGTTCTGTCAGTTTTCTTATATACACCGTGTGTGATGGATTTGTAATATAATTGTATTGGCGGTCTTTTACCACCAGTCCAAGTGTCGTCTTAGAGTGGTGTTGATCTCGTGGTTACTGTAGCCATTGTTGACCAGTACCTGAGTTGTCCCTCCACACTCCCTACTTGCCTTGTTCCACTCAGAGCCGTGGGTGGGGGGCTCGACGAATATAAGCGTTGAGAACACTGGCTTTATATCATTGGGGGCCACACACTATATATAAAATGTTTCAGTGGTAGGAGTAACTTATATATTCAGGATATAACAAATGTTCACCACGAGGCAATAAAGCTGAATTTTAAAACACTTCACATAAACTAGAGTGGATATTACGGCACAAACTAATGTTGGTCAATGCAATATTGACAGAGGTTCTGGGACCTAAGTAACCTTGGTGTGTGTGTGTGTGCTGCCTGCAGGTCTGTCCAGGGGCTACAGCGACCAATACAGCTACAGCGACTACGACACCGGCAGGGACGGCTACTACAGCGCCTTCAGTGGCAGGGAGGAGGAGGAGGTGCCCACCTTCCTGGCGCGCCCTCAGAGCTTCACGGTGGAGGTGGGCCAGTCTGTCATCATCCCCTGTGACGCTGAGAGAACCGGTGAGTCCTCTCCTGCCGCGTGTAGTGTCTGTGTGTTACAGGTGGTGGGTGTGTGCGTACAGGTGGTGGGTGTGTGCGTACAGGTGGTGGGTGTGTGCGTACAGGTGGTGGGTGTGTGTGTTACAGGTCTTGGGTGTAGTGTTTGTATCTCACAAGTGACGGATGTAGTGTTTGTGCTCACGTAGTTGTACTCACCTAGTTGTTCTTGTGGGGGTTGAGCTTCGGCTCTTGGTCCCACCTTTCAACTGTCAATCAACTCGTGTACAGATTCCTGAACCTTCTACGCTCTATCGTATCTACAGTTAAATGTGTGCATGGAGTCAGCCTCCATCACTTCACTGCCTAATGCATTCCATTTGTTAACTACCCTGACACTGAAAAAAATGTCTCTGTGGCTCATTTGGGTACTCTGCTCCCACCTGTGTTCCTTTGTTCATGTTCCACCCATGCTAAATGGTTTGTTTTGTCCAACCTATTAATTTCTCTGAGAATTTTGTAGTTAGTGATCATGTTTTTCCTAACTCTTCTCTCTTTGAGGGACGTGAGGTTTAGTTCCTTTAGCTTTTCCTCGTAACTCATACCTCTCAGTTCGGGGACGAGTGTGGTGACATACCTCTGAATGTTCTCTAACTTTGTCTTGTGCTAAATTAGGTTTGGACTCAAGGCTAGAGCTGCATACTCCAGCTGGAGTAATCTGACTTTGGTGTTCTGAATGATTCCTTACACATGTTTCTAAAGGCAGTTCTTATGTTGGCCAATCTAGCATATGCCGCTGATATCCTTTTGCTATTAGCCTCTGGGAACAGGTTCGATGTAATATACACCTCCAGATCTTTCTCTACTTGACTCTTGCAGGAATTCACCTCCCAGATGGTACCATGTGCTCGGCATCCTGCTCCACCTAATTTCATTACACTTAACTGAGTTAAACTTTAGTAGCCATTTTCTAGACATCCCTCCAGTTTGTCCAGGTCATCCTGTAGTCTCTGTCTACATTTTAATTTGTCTTGATTCTTCTCATAATGTTTGCATTATCAGCAAACGTTAAGAGGAACGAGTCTGTACCTTCTGGAAGATTGTTTACATATAGATGACACAGGATGGGGTCCAAGTACAGAGCCCTGTGGGACTACGCTGGTGACATCTCGCTACTCTGATGTCTCTCACCCCCCCTCCTTACAATTATTCGCTGTTTCCTGTTGCTTAGATACTCCTTTAAACACTGGAGCACCTTACCTTTTATTCCTGCCAATTGTTCCAACTTTTGTAACAGTCTCTTATGGGGTACTGTGTCAAAGGCTTTCTGACACTCTTAAGAAAATGCAATGCACCCCACCCTTCTCTTTCTTGCCTAATTTTTGTCGCCTGGTCATATAATTCTATTAAACCTGTGAGGCACGATTTACCATCCCACGATTTATGTAGTCTGTGTGTGTCAGAGAGGTGGAGGGTGTAGCTACTTGCAACACACACACACACACACACACACACACACACACACACACACACACACTCTTATTCCAGAGATAAGAGAGAAAACAGTTACCCAAGCACCACCAGAACAGTTTGAGATTACCAGTGGGGATGTAAGGAAGCTCTTGCTAGAGTTGGATGTGACAAAGGCTATAGGTCGGATGGAATCTCCCCTTGGATCCTAAAGGAAGGAAGGAGCAGAAGCACTTTGTATTCCACTCTCCGCAGTGTATAACAAATCACCGGTAACAGGGAAACTGCCAAAAATTTGGAAGACAGCTAATGTAGTCCCGATATACAAGAAGGGGGATAGACAGGAGGCACTGAACTACAGGTCAGTGTCTCTAACTAGCATGCCATGCAAGCTGATGGAGAAGATTGTGCGAAAAAAGCTAGTGGAACATTTGGAGCGAAGGAACTTTGTAACTCAACATCAACATGGGTTCAGGGATGGCAAGTCCTGCCTTCAGGATTAACTGAATTCTACGACCAGGCAACAAAAATCAGGCAAGAAAGAGAGGGATGGGCAGATAACATTTTTTTGGATTGCCAGAAAGCCTTTGACACAGTACCACACAATAAGCTAGTGCAAAAGCTGGAGATACAGGCAGGAGTGATAGGGAAGGTACTCCGTTGGATAAGGGAGTACCTAAGCAGAAGAAGACAGTTACTGTGAGGGGTGAGGTCTCAGATTGGCGAGACGTCACCAGTGGAGTCCCGTAGGGTTCGATCCTTGGACCTATACTGTTTCAGTATAGGTAAAAATTATGAGGAGGATTAAGACAGAGGAAGAGAGTATGAGGTTACAAGATGACCTAGACTGAATGAATAATCCAACAAATGGCTACTAAAGTTCAACCCGAGTAAATGTAAGGTAATGAAGCTAGGCCGTGGACACAGGGCGCCAGACACAGGACATAAACTGAGAGATGAAGTACTTTATTCGAAGGACAGAGAGAAGGATCTAGGAGTTGATATCACACCAAACCTGTCTCTTGAAGCCAACATAAAAAATAATAACATCTGCGGCGTATGCAAGGCTGGCTAACATCAGAACTGCCTTTAGGAACCTGTGTAAGGAATCATTCAGAACCTTGTACACCACATATGTAAGACCAATCCTGGAATATGCGGCCCCAGCATGGAGCCCGTACCTTGTCAAGCACAAGACGAAGCTGGAAAAATTTCAGAGGTATAGGCTAGTCCCAGTGGAGAGACATGCATTACGAAGAAAGGCTGCGTGAAATGCACTTCACGACACTGGTAAACAGAAGAGTAAGGGGAGACATGATCACTACCTACAAAATTCTCAGAGGAATTGACAGGGTAGACAAGGACAAACCATTCAACACTGGTGGTACGCGAACAAAGGGACACAGGTGGAAACTGAGTACCCAAATGAGCCACAGGGACGTTAGAAAGAACTTTTTCAGTGTCAGAGTAGTTAACAGGTGGAATGCATTAGGCAGTCATGTGGTGGAGGCTGACTCCATACACAGTTTCAAATGTAGATATGATAAAGAGTCCAGTAGGCTCAGGAATCTGTACATCAGTTGATTGACAGTTGAGAGGCGGGACCAAAGAGACGGCACAACCCCCGCAAGCACAACTAGGTGAGTACAACTAGGCGAGTACACACACACCTGGTCTCCAGAGATCTCCTCACAGTGTATGTTCTGAGACACACAGACACACAGACACACACAGCACGCCAAGTATTCTTGATCTCACAATGAGCAATACGCTGTACAGAAGCGCCCAGATACGGCATCGATAACCTCTACTTAACTATGCAAGTTGTGGCCGAGCAGAGTAGCAGTTTTAGGAAGACTTCGAAGTCAATGTTGGTATAAAACTGTAAATTACAGGTTGTGAAGAGCAGCCGTCACGCCCGGCCCGGAGTGGCGTGAACCATCACAATGGAAATACATTTTTGATATCTTTTATATCTTTATAAATATGTTGAGGGTGGCAGCAATGTTGAGTGTTGCACTAGTGCCAGTGCACGAGGCTGGCACCAGTGCACGAGGCTGGCACCAGTGCACGAGGCTGGCACCAGTGCACGAGGCTGGCACCAGTGTAGGTGAGCGCTTAACACCACATCTCCAGTATGTTTGAAATGGACTTAATTATTAACTGATTTTGTCTGAAACGGTTTAAAAACAATAATATAAAAATATATGTAAACCATGTAATAATATATAATGTATATTTTTATTATGATTCTCCTCGACGGTTTCCTGTGACTTGCCAACATGCTCCCTGACCGTGGGTATGTGGTGCCAACATGCTCCCTGACCGGGGGTATGTGGTGCCAACATGCTCCCTGACTGGGGGTATGTGGTGCCAACATGCTCCCTGACCGTGGGTATGTGGTGCCAACATGCTCCCTGACTGGGGTATGTGGTGCCAACATGCTCCCTGACTGGGGGTATAAGGTGCCAACATGCTCCCTGACCGTGGGTATGTGGTGCCAACATGCTCCCTGACTGGGGGTATAAGGTGCCAACATGCTCCCTGACCGTGGGTATGTGGTGCCAACATGCTCCCTGACCGTGGGTATGTGGTGCCAACATGCTCCCTGACTGGGGGTATAAGGTGCCAACATGCTCCCTGACCGTGGGTATGTGGTGCCAACATGCTCCCTGACCGTGGGTATGTGGTGCCAACATGCTCCCTGACTGGGGGTATAAGGTGCCAACATGCTCCCTGACCGGGGGTATGAGGCAGCAGCATGCTCCCTGACCTAGAGTATGAGGCACCAACATGCTCCCTGACCTAGAGTATGAGGCACCAACATGCTCCCTGACCTAGAGTATGAGGTACCAACATGCTCCCTGACCTAGAGTATGAGGCACCAACATACTCCCTGACCTAGAGTATGAGGCCCCAGCATGCTCCCTGACCTAGAGTATGAGGCAGCAGCATGCTCCCTGACCTAGAGTATGAGGCACCAACATGCTCCCTGACCTAGAGTATGAGGCACCAACATACTCCCTGACCTAGAGTATGAGGCCCCAGCATGCTCCCTGACCTAGAGTATGAGGCAGCAGCATGCTCCCTGACCTTGAGTATGAGGCAACAGCATGCTTCCTTACCTGGAGTATGAGGCAATAGCATGCTCCCTGACCTACAGTATGAGGCACCAACATGCTCCCTGACCTTGAGTATGAGGCACCAACATACTCCCTGACCTAGAGTATGAGGCCCCAGCATGCTCCCTGACCTAGAGTATGAGGCAGCAGCATGCTCCCTGACCTAGAGTATGAGGCACCAACATGCTCCCTGACCTAGAGTATGAGGCACCAACATACTCCCTGACCTAGAGTATGAGGCCCCAGCATGCTCCCTGACCTAGAGTATGAGGCAGCAGCATGCTCCCTGACCTTGAGTATGAGGCAACAGCATGCGCCCTTACCTGGAGTATGAGGCAACAGCATGCTCCCTGACCTACAGTATGAGGCACCAACAGGCTCCCTGACCTGGAGTATGAGGCAACAGCATGCTCCCTTACCTGGAGTATGAGG